GTAATAAAAATGTAAATAATAATAATAATAATAATAATACATGTATCTAGGGTTAAATAAAAAGTAAATAATAAATAAAATGTGAATAATAAATAAAAAGCACACATATATATATATATATATATATATATATATATATATGATGCTGAATTAATATTCATTGTAGAAAATACATTAAATTGACTTTTAGCTTTAATTAACAAAAACATTTTCTATTTTCTCAATGTTAATGCAAATGAACTAGGATTAATTAGGATTTCAATTGAAATGTTATTTAATTCAAATTAAATGTTATTAAGGTTTATTGATAGAAATCACAGCTTGTCCAAGTGCTGCAAAAATCGCAAGCATACATATAAAATGTTAAATAAAACAGTGCATATAGTAGGTTGACCTGAAATGGAAGAAACCCCCATTTTTTCTGAGGATCCTTTCACTGACACTGAAAAAAACCCCCACTTTCCTTTTATACTTTTAATTCTTGGATGTGATCTGAATCATTTACAGGTCGATTTTAACCATTCACATTAAAACGTAAACTTAAAATCAGCAGCATGAAATAAAGTAGAAAGTCCTCTATTTAAAAAAAACAAACAATAATTTAGGAGAAGGTGCACAGACATGCCACATGCCTGGTGAGAACACAGTCAAATAAAAACTGTACACAATCATATTCTTCAGGATACACTATAAATCAGATATTAAACACAGCTGGACAGCATCGCCTCTCAGCTGATTCATATCCAATATTTCAGCGCTGACAGGTTATGAACATCCTCACATTTTACAAAGAAGAAAAACCCAAAGTGCAGGTGCAAAGAATTGAGAGAGGAAGAGAGAAATGAGAAATCTGGGAAATTACAGATGATTTAGCGGCAAGAAAATGTCATTTCAACAATCCCAGATCTAACGTCCCAGCGTCCTTCCTCTGTGTCAAGAGTTTGTGTTAAATATCACAGATGTATTTCCACACTATCCCTGTGAACGCTCTCGTACGTTAAAGACGATTTACTATACTGTAAAAAACAAAATCATTCTCTTAATCTGTATTTTGGTCTTATTTCAAAATAAAAATATCTAAATCTTGAGAAGGTACTTGAGAAGCAACACCACATAAGATTCCATAAGACTATTATTATAGAATATAATATAATGTAAAATAAATGTAAAGTTGACCTGTATTGTTTGTACAAATACACTATTTAAAAATGTTTAAATTTAGATTTTTTTTCTTGTTTTAGTATAAATTGTTTTTTTATTGGGGTCCATCTTTTTTTTTTTTTTTTTTTCAGAAAATTCCTGCTCACAGTTTTGCTTCTCAAGTAAACTGATATTGTTTTTAGGATGTTTAAATACTTTTATTGGAACATGAAACAAAAATACTGATTAAGAACATGTTTTTTTTTCGCCCAATCTGGACTAGTGAGCTATTCTAGACACGATTACTATGATGAACAGTCTAACTGTATTAGATATTATTAGTAACCATTTCTGTATATAAAGTACATCAAGCGCATTGTAGTATACAGCAGGTCCTCTCAGACTTTGTACAGGTCAAAAGGTCATTCTGCAGGTCACATCACGGTCCCTCTGTCATCAGATCAAAGACAAGCCTCCGGGAAAACTCATTACTCTCCGTTCCCTAACGAGCTCACGCAAACATCAAGCCTTTGAAGCTTCCCGCTGATTTAAGAGGAGATCAGATTAGGTGTAGTTAAAGGGACAGTTCACCAAAAACAAAAGTTCTGTCATCATTTGCTGACCTTCGTGTCGTTCCAAACCTGTATGAGGTTATTTCTCAAGGTAGAACACAAAAGGAGATATTTTGCCGAATGCCCAGGCTGCTCATTTCCATACAATGGTGAAAGGAGATTTCAAGCTCCAAAAATGGCATTAAAACATCATGTAAGTGGCCAATAAACGTCTTAAGTCATAAAATAGGTTTATATGAGAATCACACTGATATTCAAGTCATTATTTGCTAGCGTATGGCTTAAGAACAACTCAATAAATAGTGCATAAGTCTGTTATGTAATTTGATAATATGGTGAATATGGAGATGGTGAAACCACACCAATCAGGTTTTTTTTTTGTGTGAAAACAGCAAGCCTTGTATAAAATGTAAAATCAAACAGTGCATATAATATTTCAAGCTCCAAAAATGACAATGAAACATCATAAAAGTGGCTATTATGATTATTACAAAATGTCTAAAGTCATAAAATAGGTTTGTGAGAGAAACATACTGAACTTTAAGTTGTTATTTACTAGCATATGGCTTTAGAAAACTCACTATATAGCGTACATGTCTATTTTTAATGCTGCTTCTTGTAATTTTTTAGCTCAACAGAGATGGTCACCATCCACTTTCATTGTATGGAAAAGCTAGCATGAACTTTTTGCGAAAAATTTCAGTCAGTCAGGTTTGGAACATAAAAGTGAGTAAATGATGCCCGAATTTTAATTTTTGGATAACTACTCCTTTAACCCCGAAATAGAGTTGTGAATGCAGAGGTACTAGTTTATAGTTTAGCACGTTAGCCTGATAGCGAGATCTCATAGTCACTGACGGACATGTGTTGGTGTCCCACCTTGCGAACGTTCTTGGCATTGGTTATTCGCGCGGCGATCTCCACCGGCTTCTCAAAGTACTGCACCAGGGCTTGTTCGGTGAGCACTGAGGCCAGGAACTGCTCGAAAGTGATGGCCCAGTCCTTATCGATGCTGGCGCTGTGAGGTAAACCACCGTTGCGTATGAGCACGGTGTCCTCCGCGATGTCCTCGCACTGAAGCTTATCGTTCAGCTCGTGGGAGCCGGTGCTCAGGACGGAGTAGGAGGACATGGACGTGTCATCTTTGGTCTCGTCGTCGGAGATGAGCATGGCGGAGGACGTGGCCATGTCTTTGGGGGACGAGTCCTCCAGTTTGATGTCCTCTAACGGACCCGTGACGCAGGAGTTTGTCTCGCCATCGCAAGGTTTGCGGCGCGCTCGCTCCTGCTTGCTCCTGCACGCTGGGATGCGGTCGTCCTCATCGTCGTCCTCGTCCTTGTGAGCGGGACTGCAGAAGAGTTTGCCCACCTCTCCCATCTCCAGCAGCAGGCTGGTGACTGTAGCCGTGGCGTGATACAGCTCCTGCTCGCTGGGGTCTTCGCTGAACATGTTATAGAGAGTCTTGCACAGCTCGATGAACTGACTCTGAAGAAGGAAGAGGAAACAGAGTCAGATTTTACCAATGAATAAACAAACCTAATCTCCTTGTCGTGCAGTAGATTTATTTATAGTTTTTTATTAGGGAAATAATTTAAAAATGATTAAATTAAAAATAAATTATTATTGTGTTATTATATAATACATGAACCTAAAAAATGATATAACAATGTAACAAATTAGATTTTTATTTATTTATTAATTTATTATATATGTGTGTGTATGAGATTTATATAAAATACACACACACACACACACACACACATATATATATGTAATTTATATAATATTTAAAAAGAGTGCTGTATATTTTTTTACATTAAAAATTTAAGTAAAAGTATATAACAATAAATACTATTATATACATGTATATAAAATTGTATATTCAACATATATTCTATATAATAAAATTACATAGTTTAATCTACAAAACTGTCAATTTATTAAATTACATATTCAAATAAAATGATATAATAATAATACTATACTATGCTATTTATTGCTATTTATATAATGTTTTTATGTTATTATATAATATATAAAAGCTAAGAATTATATAAAGTTATATCTAAAATGTCAATTAAATTAAAAATAATAATAATTGTATTAATAAATAATTATATATAATATTGTGTTACTATATATTTTTTATTAATTCATATACATGATATATATTAGTTATATGTGTATTTACTTTTTTTAAATCAGAGAAACCATTATTTCAACTAAACAACCAATGTTGTAAATTAGAATCAAAATATTTAAATATAAAAAGCAAAATATACTAGCTATCTAGTGAAATTTTTCAATACGTTTTAAATTTTAAACACATTTTCCACTGGCAGTTTATCTGAATAAATAAGCTTTCCATTGATGTATGGTTTGTTAGGATAGGGCAATATATGGGACATATTACAAATGATAATACATTTTTGATATATTTACGGTAGGAAATTTACACAATATCTTCATGAAACATGATCTTTACTTAATATCCTAATGATTTTTTGACGAGAATTTTGACCCATACAATGTATTCTTGGCTATTGCTACAAATATACCCGTGTTGTGGTCCAGGGTCACATATCTGATGAGTTGTGAATGGAGAATCTCGCTGTTTCAATAGGAGTTATGCTCATAAAGTATCTTTAGTTGGTCTTCTGACGTACCTGGTTGAGTTTGGGCAGATCCTTCATGTTCTCTAACTTTGCGTTGGTCTCCTGGTTCCACAGGCGCAGGTACATCCGGTAATCCGGAGTGTGCATTTTCTTAACTACACCAAAGACAGAATGTTGCACATTTCAACAGCTCTCCAACATCAATCATCAGCTCTGATCCGTTTGGTATTTTCTCCCACCTTTTTCACTTTTAAAAGTGACTCCGACAAAACCATCGTCCTTCTCGGCTCTGTTCTTTTGGTCGAGGCCTGTCAATGAGAGGTCAAAGCATCAGCACCAGTGATCACAGTTTCTGGACTGGGCATCAAGAATCCTTTCCACCGTAATTTTGGTGTAACAACCTATTTTGTGTGGTGAGTGTGAGCATGCAGCAGTACCGCTGGAGGTCTCTGGGGTGATGTCCTCAAAAAAATACTGCATAGCTTCACACGCCGAGTCGGGCTCCTCCTGCTCATGGTGCAACTCTGAGAAGAACAAATACATTCAGCCTCTTCTAGAGCTCAATCTAATTCAGATAATAACATCAAACACAAAACACTTCAGTAATATTTCTGTTAATGATCTCTTTATCAGGATAATTCTTTTGATTTGTGGGGTAATTTTGACCCAGACTTGTCAGAAAGAACAAAACATCCGTCTTCACTTTCATTTCTGCTTTTTATCCATGTTTCCTCTCACAAAAGAGAAACACAACTAATAATCTTACAGTTACCACACATAATTTACAGTCTTCATATGTGCAAAGCAAACAGGTATATGCAATGCTGAATAAATATAAATACTATAAATAAAATACTAACATGTCCCAGAACTGTATTAATTATGAGCTGAATTAATTATCAGCATAATCTGCACCATGTTAACAATGTTAAACATTTTATTTTCTCTTTTTCACCCACATATTCTCACCTACCTGGAAGTATGTGAATCTTGTACAGAAATTTGAGTTTTTCCGTCAGGTCACCGTGACACAGGACACCTAAAATAGAAACCAATCATTTTATATGTGTACAAAAACAATCAACCCAATGCACTTTTGATATATTTTTATCATATATTTAATGTTTTAAACTTTAAATTTTTTTGGTCATAATATAGTTTGACTAACACGTTTCGACTTCTAAACATACATTGTAAGTCACCATAAAATCAAAATCGACTTCTTATTTTTTTTTATGGAATATTGCAGTGTTTATCATAAATAATTTATCTGTGCACATTTTAGGTCAAAATGGCTGAAAAACTAAATTCGAATTTTGTACTTAAATATGATCAAAATTCGAATTATATTCGAATTTAAAATGCATAATTTCAGTTAGGGTGAAGAAAAGCAGAGGGCGCATCGAGCAAAATATTATGCACGTTTCTTCAAAGAGTAATAAAATAACACGACTATCTTTGAAAAATGTGCATAATGTTTAAAATAATATTTATAAACCAATTATAATTAATTAAGTTGCTTAAACAACTATAAACAAAACAGCATCATGTATGCATTTAGTTTAACACAAAGGGCCGAAAGCCAATCACACAGAGTACAATTTTCATTTAAAAACACGAGTTGTTATGGGATGGGAAAACCCCTGCCATAAGGTCTCGAGATATGTTTTTTTTTTTCAAAGTTAAACTTGCATTAATTTTACATGGCTTAAACATGCGGCTCTTTTGTGCGAGACACGACTGCAACGGTGATAGATGTCCTTCTAGAAAATGCGCGAAATATGTGTTCTGTGTGAACGGCTTGGTGTCAGTTTTGATGAAAACAAGATCTTCTCCGCATCGATGTTCTCTTTTCCCGCAATATTTGTAACTAACAACGCAGCAGCGCCGCATCTAGTGGCTTCAACTGGATAGACTAACAAAAACATTATAATGCAACGGCACTTACATCGTCATCGCATCTCGTGCGCCACTGATAAGGCTGCCTCCTTAACGCACACCTAAAATTCGAATGCAACGTTTTTGCATTCGAATGTGGATTTTTATTTTAAATTCGACGAATATTTGAAATTCAAATTTTTTTTGACAGCCCTAGTGCACATTATTATTATTTTTACATAATGCATGTGCCCTCATTATCTTTAACCAAAATGATTGAAAAGATGATGACAACTTCAACAATGGGATTGGTCATGATAAAGCACACTCACTCAGGCCGCTGATGAACTCTCTGAAGTTTATGAGCGTGTCGGTGTTGTGGTCCAGCAGACGGAAGATGCGCAGGGCCAGGTCGTCAGCGTGCGTGCCGCAGGCCCAGGGGAAGAGCAGCGCAAACAGCACTTTGAACTGCTCCAGATCCATGCGATACTGCTCCAGGTATGGCAGGCTCGGGTCGTGCCGGCTCATGGGGTTACTGGTGCTGCCCCAGTAACAGCTGGTCAGATGCTCAGCCTGATGGTCATAAATCATGCACAGGATAGTCATGATATTCATGTTATAAAGTCAACGGATATGGAGCATGTACGTTTAAATGTGAATGCACCTGCGATGTGTTTCATCCTTTTTATTGTCTGCCAGGCAACAATATTTTTGATTGTTTACCTCAACAGACTGTATGCTTTGAGAAGTAACACAAATGGGGCTGGATGAGCTGGATTCAAATTTATTCAAATTTGTTAGTAAGTACCACTAAATATGTCCAAAATAATCACAATAAAACAAGAAAAAATAAAATAAAAATAAAAATCATAGCATATATAATAATAATAATACATTTAAAAAGATAAGCACCATTAAATATGACCACAATAATATCAGTAAAACAAAAAGGAAAATAAAAGGATAAAAATCATAACATTTATAATAACAATAATAAAATACCAATAAATAAAAACAAAAAAGAAAAAAATAATAATAGCATAATATTTGTAATTATATATATTATATAATATTTTTAAATTTAATTAATTAATTTAGATTGATTAATTATTATTAACTACATACTGTAGTATGCTACATACATTAAATGTGCATTATACTGCATGCATTATATTGTATGCAGAATATACTCACTTTGCATCGCACAACATTAATAAACTGTGCTTACAGACTACAGATACTCACTATATAGTATGCTACATATACTAAATTTGCAGTATAGTATGCTACATATACTAAATATAATAATAATAATAATAAATAATCACAATAAAACAAGAAAAAATAAAATAAAAATAAAAATCATAGCATATATAATAATAATAATACATTTAAAAAGATAAGCACCATTAAATATGACCACAATAATATCAGTAAAACAAAAAGGAAAATAAAAGGATAAAAATCATAACATTTATAATAACAATAATAAAATACCAATAAATAAAAACAAAAAGAAAAAAAAAAATAATAGCATAATATTTGTAATTATATATATTATATAATATTTTTAAATTTAATTAATTAATTTAGATTGATTAATTATTATTAACTACATACTGTAGTATGCTACATACATTAAATGTGCATTATACTGCATGCATTATATTGTATGCAGAATATACTCACTTTGCATCGCACAACATTAATAAACTGTGCTTACAGACTACAGATACTCACTATATAGTATGCTACATATACTAAATTTGCAGTATAGTATGCTACATATACTAAATATAATAATAATAATAATAATAAACAAATATTTAGCAAGCACAATTAAATATAGGCAAATAATGTCAAAACAATAAAATACTGTAAAGACAATAAAAATAATGTAATTTATGATAATAATAATAATAATAATTAAAAATGCTTTAGCAAGTTCAAACACGCCCCCACATGTCTACGTCACTGTGTGGGAGATTTGCATAATGCCGCCCAAATGTTCACGCAAAGAAAGAATGCGTAACTTTGATTCTCGCTGTAGAATTGTTGCCGCCGCTATGTCGTGGAGACGCTGTGTGTTTCGTTGCGAAAGCCAAACTACTTTGTTTGGCCTTCCAAAAGAGGACACGACTAGAAATCAGTGGTTAAGTTTTATTTACAACACTGTTCCAGAACAGTACAACCCAAATATTCGAGTGTGTTCAGCGCATTTTATGGAGGACTGTTTCCTCATCCTGGTAAGGGGCGTAACATTTCCGTCACACGCTTGAGGAATTCAGCCAATCACAACGCACTGGATAGCTGGCCAATCAGAGCACACCTCGCTTTTCAGAACGATGAGCTTTGTAAAAATCAATGCATTTCAGAAAGGCGGGGCATAGAGGAGAAACAATAATGTACGGTATGTGGAAAATAATGTGTTTTTTGAACCTTAAACCGCGTAAACACATTGCATTACACAAATACTTGAAAAAATTTTTTTTAGCAACGTCACATGACCCCTTTAAATCACAGCACACACTCTCACTGTAAATGTTATTGGCCGATTCATGACCTCATCATGTGACTGACCTTAAAGAGTGTATAAAGCTCCTCCAGCTCATCGATGCTGAAGGGTGTCTCCGTCATGATGGTCCGCACCTGCAAAAGCAGTGGATGAGGCAAATGCGAACAGATTAAAAGCCACAGATCCTCTGACTGAGTGCTAATAAAACACTAGTGTCAGTACGGAGAGCGTCTGATTACCACATTGCGTTTGGTGGTGTCTTCAATGGCCTGGATCACTCTCAGCCTCTGTTTGAAACGCATCTGCTCAATCACATCCGCCCGGATGGAGCCGAACTTCTGCAGATCACAGTGAACATCAGCAAACATGCAATACGACACAGACAGAACCCATGAAAACACACTTTGTAATATACAAGGTCAGAATTTGAGATGAACGAACCTCATAGGAGATGCGCACGAGTTTGAAGATGTCCACCTCAGGATGAGGATCCCCGTTATCCGTCAGGAGTGAGTGAAGATGAGGGATTGGAGGAAGAGTGCTGTCCTTATTAGTCACGTTGTCCAGATACCTACAACACACATACACAAGCAGGCACACTCATTTGTCAGCAAAACTGCAGCACTGTCATACACAGATCTTGCTATTCGATAAATACTGTAGTATACTACTGTATATAAATATACACATATATACTCACTTTGTAGTACACTATATACATATATTACAGTATAGTCCCTATGTAGTACACTATATACATATATTACAGTATAGTCCCTATGTAGTTCACTACATACACATATAGTACGGTATAGTCCTATTGTAGTACACTATATACACACATACTGCAGAATAGCCCCTTTGTAGTACATTTTATACACGCATACTATAGAATAGTCTCTTTGTAGTACACAATATACACACATACTACAGTATAGTGCCTTTGCAGTACACTTTAAACACATACAATATACATTATAAAGTATGCGACACACTAAATTTGCCGTATCCAGTATACTCTATGTAGTATGCAACATATAATCACTTAGCAGTTCACACATTTTGCTCAGAGACAGTGAATACTCACTACGTAGTGTGCTAGATACACTCAATTTCCAGTGTACTGTTTACTCCATGTAGCATGCAGCATATTTTCACTTTTCAGCACACAACATTAACAAACTGTTCTTATAGACTATATATAATAACTACATACTGCAGTATGCTACCTACATTAAATGTGCATTATACCGCATGCATTTTATTGTATGCAGAATATACTCACTTTGCAGCGCACAACATTAATAAACTGTGCAGACTACATATCCTCACTATATAGTATGCTACATATACTAAATTTGCAGTATAGTGCATACATTATGTAGTATGCAGCATATAATCACCTTGCAACATGAACAAACTGTGATAATAGACTATATACTCACTATGTAGTACGCAACATACACTAAATTCGCAGTACAGTAAATACTCCATAGTATGCAACACATGACTTTGCAGAACAGTACATATGCAGAATACTACACATACAGTACTTACTAGGCAGCATACCACAACATACTCATTATGAAGTGTACTACACGTATTCAGAAGCATGCAGTTGTCTTACCTGCCCAGGATGGTCATGGCTTCTCCGTCATCTTTGCAGCCCAGCAGCTGATGGATGTTAGCGTCGAGCACCGACAGCGCTAGCTGAAAGATGACCTTGATGCCCTCGTAGAAGAAGCAGTCGACCACCACCACGGCGCTCTCGAAGGGCATGACGGACAGGCAGAGCCACCCAGCGCCTGCATGCAGTCGTACAGCTGAGGAACGTGGACATGAGCCAGCTCCTCAAACACACCCTGGTCCATCAAAGCACCTGAGATACACACAAACACACTCAGTGCTGACAGATCTTCCTGGTTTTGCGTTGCACATGAAACATGTACAATTTAACATCAATTTATTAAAAGTTGAATAAAAATATTTTTTTATGAAATACTGACAATTTCAAAATCTCAAATTCCATTTTATTTTTCCCAAATTCTGTGCTTTCCACTCAATTTTCTAGATTCCATTTAAACTTTAACAACTTGATAAGTTATCACATATTTTACAATAAAAGGGCCCTATGAAAAAACATTCTATTTTTTTCTAAAATTCCATTTTATATACACTGAACAAAATTATAAACGCAACACTTTTGTTTTTGCCCCCATTTTTCATGAGCTGAACTCAAAGATCTAAGACTTTTTCTATGTACACAAAAGGCCTATTTCTCTCAAATATTGTTCACAAATCTGTCTAAATCTGCGTTAGTGAGCACTTCTTTCAGTGTAAATTCTGTGTTTTCCACTTTAATTTTTCTGGATTTAATTTTAATGGTTTGTAATAATCAAAAAGCATGTATAATCAATTCATTTTGTACAAAAATAGTGCTATATATATATATATTATTATTATTTTTTATTTTTTTTGTTTTCAAAAAAATTCTGTTTTCATTTTTTCTGGATTTATTATTTAATATAAATGTATTATCCAAAATGGTGGTAATCAAATGAAAGCATAAAACATTAACAATTTAATTAATCTCTTAAAATGTAATCAGATGAAAATTAATCAATTCCTTTCATTTTTTGTCAAACAAACTGCTGCACAACAAAGGTTTACTATTAAAATAAAAACATGGAATAAATGCAAGAAAGGAATTGTGTAACTCCCTTAAAAAAGCTTCATTATTATTATTATTATTACTTTGAGAACTACATTCTATACAATAACACTTGTGAAACAAAATTCTTTCATTGGTTCATGGTGAGTCCATTTGTCACAATTTCTTCAGTTTAATAAAAATTCTGCCCTTTTTATTTTATTTTGTAATATATTTATGTCCTTTAAGACCTTTGAGTTTTTGTCTGTATCTGACGATAGTTTTATGAATTGAAATGGTGAAATACTGTTAAAGTAACTCTCAGAGCAGCTCTGGAGATGAGGTTTGCGTTCATGTCCTCATATAGTGAGACGACAGACGCTGAAAACACTGCGAGCATCACGTGTGTAGTGTGTAGTAGATGAAACTGTGCCACTCATTCACACAGATCACAGATACGTGCAGACTTCATATTACATAGCAGTCTTTTGTGGTTTAATATTCACAGATACTAGTCCATATGGCGATGTGATTCATTATACAGCCTTACTTTCATTTATGCATCCAAAAATTTCCAAATTCTGTGACATACTGTGTTATACTGTAAATTCCATTTTTATGACAGCATTCAATGATTCCATTCACATTTTTCCACACGGAGGAAATCATAGGGCCCTAGTGTCATTTGGTGGAATGTAAGAAGCAGGATGATCCTGGAGCTCACCTACGACTCTGGTGTTGTAGTAGTCGGGAAGCATGCGCTCACATAAGGCCACCAGGAGCCAGAAGGCCTCTTCCTCTTTAGCATACAGCAGCAGGACGGAGGTCACGATGTTCATGGCCTGCAGAAGACGAGAGACCGGCATTATGATCGTGCTGTGGGTGCATTCACTGCAGACGGTGTGTTGCTGTGCATCATACCTGGCAGTAGCCGATGTTAGGGTTGCGGAAGGCATACGCAGTGAGGACTCGACGCAGGGCAGCGATGCCCATCTCGTTCTGAAAGGCTGGATGCTCTGGGAGAGAGCGGTGCAGGTCTCTCTCGATCTCCTCTGTGGCCAGATTATATTTCCCCATCGACTTCTCCACCAGATCCTCATAATAACCGGGATGAGTGGCCATCTCGTTAATCGCCCCTGTACACACCAACATACAGATAAACAACCAACTCATCAAATAATTAACAGATCAAATTTATACAAACCATTTAGACGACATTTTCTGATCCAAAACAAACATTTTTGAAAACAATTTTTTCATGGGTCATGGTGATTCCAAATATATAATAACTAATAATAACTATGCTTGATTATCTGGTTAGTTATTTATTACTTGAATCCAGAGCTGTTTTCTCGCTGCTGTCTGTGAGCCAGTTGTGGGATGCATGACTCACCAGAAAACAGGAGCCAGAGCTCTCCTCTCATGTTCTCCGGGATGCCCTGCAGCACCAGCTTTTTGGTCTTCTCTGTGCGATACATACACACTCCCTGGCCGTATTCGGTGAAGTGATTCTTCCAGGCCTGCTCCTTCAGAAACTCTTTAGCCTGAAAACATGCGAGTGTAAAGAGAGCGTCTCATCACTGCTGTCTCGACTTCAACTTCAGAAGTGCTGATGTGGGAAACTATGACTTGGAAAATAAGAGCTGGCAAAGAAGCGAAGCCAGTGGACTTCATTAACTTTCTTTTCTGAAATTTAAAATGTGGTGCATTTAATGTATATAAAAGCTTTAGATTAGACAATCTTGCGAGCAAAATCCCTCCAAAAATGACTAGAATACTCTTCTGAATGCAAAATGCATACATCTTTGCAAGATTTATGCCCTGACACTGTGTGACCAAATTAACAAAGCCTAGTCATTTTAAAGCAAATGACTTGGATAAGCAGATTTTCAGGTCATTTGTTGCAGGGTCAGCAAACAGAAGGAACGGTCTTCTCATAAGGTGCACTTCCTGTGTGTGTCCTACTGAAGTATCTGCTTTAACCACAACAAACACAATAATCTGCATCTGACTTCAGCCTTTGAACTCTGACTGGATGAGGTGCATTCAAATGCCGATAAACAAACACCTGTAACCGCACCATCTTTAACTAAAACTAAAAACATTTTTATTACTTGAAATAAAACAATAACTGAAATAAAATATGAAAATAAATTTTAAAAATATATATTTTATAAATCATATTATTATATTTTATAATAAAAATAAAATATATAAAAACCTAAATTTATTTCGGCTAGTTGAGGCAAAAAAAAAAAAAGTTCAGGTTATTTTTGTTTAGTTCAACCTGAAATACTAAAATAACTAAAACTTAATAAACTAAAACAAATAAAATAAATACAACTAAATTAAATAAAAAATTATACAGACATTTAAAAAAAATAATAAAAATGACAAAAACGCAACAAAATTACTAAAAATTAAAATGGATACAAAATATAAAAATAAAACATAATTCAAAATATTAACAAACATATCACTGATACTAACATAACACTTGACCAAGATGCTATGTTGTTTGTAAACAGCCAATAATTAAGCTCCAGAACTACGCATCTTCGCATAAGACTTGTTTACACTGACAATTAATATTAGTTTTAAAGTACAAATATAACTATTGACTTAACATTGGTGTCTTCCTATTGTTTTCTAAAAGCAAGAAGCCACTCAAGGTCATGTGATTTAACTGCGTTTAAAGGGATAGTTCACCCAAAAACGAAAATTCTGTCTTTAATTACTCACCCTCGTGTTGTTCGAAACCTGTAAGACCTTCGTTCATCTTCGGAACACAATTTAAGATATTTTTGATTAAATCTGCAGGCTCTCTGACCCTCCCATAGACAGCAAGGTAACTACCACGTTCAAGGTCCAGAAAAGTACCAAGATGATCGACAAAGTAGTCCGTGTGACATCAGTGGTTCAATTGTAAAGTTACGAAGCTACGAGAATACTTATTTGCGCAAAGAAAACAAAAATAACGACTTCATTCCGCATTTGCATGTGGCGGCGCCGGCGCTGACCCAGATCCGGTGTGATGACGTCATTACATGCTCGCGTCATGATACTGTCGTGAACGCGCGTCCACAAGTGACACAGTAGAGACGAAAATGTGGAATAAAGTCGTTATTTTTGTTTTCTTTGAGCCAATAAGTATTTTCGTAGCTTCGTAACTTTACAGTTGAACCACTGATGTCACACGGACTACTTTGTCGATCATCTTGGTACTTTTCTGGACCTTGAACGTGGTAGTTACCTTGCTGTCTATGGGAGGGTCAGAGAGCCCTCAGATTTCATCAAAAATATCTTAAATTGTGTTCCGAAGATGAACGAAGGTCTTACGGGTTTCGAACAACACGAGGGTGAGTAATTAACGACAGAATTTTCATTTTTGGGTGAAGTAACCCTTTAAGGTTTTTTAGGGCCGGGGCATGGCAGCTCTTAACCATGGTAAAATGATTATAATGCACAGCCCCTTGCAGTATTTGGCAGGACACATTTCTATCCTACTAATCCTGTTCATTTGTGTTCTGAATTCACATCAGTTCCTGTCCTTCTCCATCAGTCCTCTCAGTAAGCCGTGATAAAAACAATGCTGTGGTGTTTGTGATCAAGCATGAGGGTGCTGTACCAGTTTGGGGTTGAACTCCTCCGGGGACCGCCGGCGGTACATGGTCATCAGGGCCTGTGTTGCCGTGGGAACCCTGCTCTCATTGAGATTGAACTGCCTGTCACTGTCTCCCTCAGAGCTGAGTGCACTGCGCTGCGGACTATAGGACAAGACACTGCCCTGCTGAGAGTACACCTAGACACACAGCACAGCAGAAGATATGGAGAACATTAGAATTAAAAAAAAAAAAAACGAATTGATCAAGTGGCAGCAAATACTTTCTAATAAATGCTGTTCTTTTAACTTTGTATTCATCAAAAAACCCTGAAAAAAGTGTATCACAGATTCCACAAAAATAGGATCATGTGACACTGAAGACTGGAGTAATGATGCTGAAAATTCAGCTTTGATCACAGGAATAAATTACATTTTAACATATACTGAAATAGAAAACAGTTATTTTAAATTTTAAAAACATACCGTTTTTACTGTATTTTTCATATACTGTATTTTTCAAATAAATGCAGCCTTGGTGAGCAGAAAAGACTTCTTTCAACATATTAAACAAATCGTTAACATTTTTTTCAGTATTCTTTGATGAATATAGAATTCAAAGGAACAGCATTTATTTGAAACAGAAACCGTTTGTAACATTATAACGGTCTTTTCTGTCACTTTTGATCAATTTAATGCATCCCATTTATCCCCCGATTAATTTCTTTAAAAAAATCTTACTGAGCCAATTTTTTGAACAGTACTGTCTATACATATTAAAATAATAAATCTATAAATATTTATAGGAATAAATACCAATAGACAAATAAACATTGTTGTTCCCACCTCGTCGTCTGAGCTGCTGAGGCTGCCCGTGATCTCCCGCTCAAAGTAGATTTTGGAGGTGGTCTGCTGCAGGAAGTCCGAGATCCTCTGCACCAGGAAGTCCCGGTCTTTGAGGTTGGCAAAAAGGAAAGTCATTTTGTTTTTGGTGCTGATTGACAAGGGGCTGGGAAGGACGTTACAGCTATCGGCTTTCTCAACGATGGTCACCTGGCGAGAAGAGAGAGGGAAAGGATGCAAAATGCATTTCACAACCCATTTCATGTGCCATATTTCTAAAGAAAAACACCATAATCGATATTAAAAATGTCTATATGCTGCAAGAACTGACTGGATTGTAAACCATGGTAGCGAATGCAGGATAAAGCAATGTTTAATGTGTGCATGCTGTGTACTTTGATGCTTATTAGAGTATCATGTCATTAGTTTAGCATGAAGCGGCTGGTGTGACGCACCTCTCTGAGCGGGATAATCAGGCTGCAGATGGTCTCCTCTTTACTGGTGAAGCAGATGTAATTAGTGGAGACGAACATCTGTCCAAGGATGTGCATCTTGTTGAAGGGGGTCCATAGTGTGCAGTCTGTGTGGCCGTCCAATTTCTCGTCTTTCGGCAGGCGGAAAAGCGCCCGGTATCGCTCGCTTTTAGCCCTGGCGTCCAAGTCCCTGAAGTCACAAAAACAAATATAATACTGAAAAAGGCTGCTATAACTTTCCTAAACTCCTTCTAACTAACAAAATTCTACAATATTGTCACTTTACTATAAAATTGGTGGAACTGCATGTCAAAGTGTTCTCACATAATCCTCTTAGCTCACACAGAAGGATTTGCTACTTTCAATTTCACACAGCTGCCAGATGGCCATTCACTCCGAAATATAATTCTTCACTATTTTGTATTTCAGCTGCCATTTTTAAGACAATTACTGAAGGAATTATGTTTCTGATATTATCTAATAAATTCAATAAGCAGCAGTTCTGTGGTTGACATATTCAATATTTTTTTACTTCTACTACTTACTACAAGAAAAAACAATCTGCGAATGGGGTAAGACAAATAAAGTTAATTCAAAGGGAAAACAAGTTTTATTTTTCTTATGTCATTGGCAGATATTTATTATTATATCTTTACATATACTTCTTTATTATATACTTCATATCTTAAGTAATTTAGCTTATCAAGTAAATGTATCTTGATTTAAAAATATTTAAATACAATAAAAATATAAATACAATAAATTCAAGACAAAAATACTTGTTCAGAAAATCATTTTTCACAATATCACAATAGGAATTTTATTTAATTTAAATTGATTTGAATTTATTCATTAATTTACATTTATTTCGAATTTTTTTATTTAAATTTATTTCACAGTGACAGTATATACCGCTATAATTATAGCAATTATAATTATTTTTTGCAAGAAATTCAGTGCCAGCTTTTATGTATTGCATAATAAACTAGTAATGTCTATTTTTGATAATCTAGTGAAATAAATTCTACACAAATTAAAAGTACTTCCCCAAGAGCTCATTTAATAAAATAAGTGAAATAAATAAGTAAATAAGTATAAATAAATATTTAAATAAGTTTCTTCTTTTAAATAAATAGATTTATTTTTACACTTTATGGACAAAATTTCAAAAGATTAATCTGCAGCAAATGAACAAATGTGCCATCAGTGCAAAAACACCAATATAAATAAAAAGTTTCTTCTTTTAAATAAATAGATTTATTTTTACACTTTATGGACAAAATTTCAAAAGTTTCAAAAGA